AAAAAGAGCTGCTATAAATATTTTTGTACAAATAGGATCTTTTCCATTTTTTTCTCCTCTCTTTGCGATGTAGTCCTAGTAGTGGTATTGCTGGATCAAAGAGTTTACACAGCTTTATACCTCTTTGGCCATCCTCATGGCTAAATTCATTCATTCAATAAGCAACTACTACAGGGAAGATATTAGATTCTGGAGATGTGAAGACAAGAACGATATGACAGCTTTTTCTTATCACTCATAGGGATAAAGATATATTGCAGAGGAAAGAATGGTGAATTCAGAGTCAGGGACTGTGTTTAAATCCCCTTTTTGCTAATTGCTACCTGTATGATATTGGTAAAGTTTTTTAAGCTCTCTCAGCCTGAAAGGAGTTGGACTAGATGCCTTATGAGCTAGACTGAAGAATAGCCTAAGAATGAATGTTAGTATTCCAGTTCTGTGGGTGACCTATAACCAACTTTTCATTATAATGGGATAGAGTCAGGAGACTTGGATTCTAGTCTCAGCTCTGCTACTAATCCAATGTATGATCTTGGATTTAACCCCCTCTGGGCCTCAGTTTCCTCATCTGTCAATCAGACATAATGATATTGGCTTTACCTCAATAATCCTATTGTTGGAGAATATACTCTGACAGTGTAACAAAAAATTAAAGAGTGAGCTCTCTGTTTAAATATTTTCAAAGTTGAATTATTTATCATTTAAAACACACACACACACACACACACACACACGAACTGAAAGCTGTTTAAGTGTCCAACAGTGGAGGAACAGTTAAATAAATTGTGGTACATTCATGTATAATGTAATTAAGACCAACAAGTGTGAGGAATATAAAGAATGAACCTTAAAGACCATGTGGTCCAAACTTCTCATCTTTAAGAGTATGAAATGAGAGAGACTAAATGACTTACCCAACACCTCCAACCAATGTGTTTTCCTTTAAGTGTATATTATCCTTTAAGAAATATAGAATTTGAAACATAAAATATTATGATTTTTCTTTTATTATAGCTATTGTTCACCCCAGGCTAACTTTAAGGATCTCTTTGTCTCTTTCCCCTACCAAACAGATGTTCAGGAAAATGAAAACTCACTTTTAATAATAGCTTGAAACATGAGGAAGGTCAATCTGTTGTTAAAATGCCATTTCATGTCATTTCAAAGGCAAAAACAAACTTTACCAAGTGCTTACTTACTGTGTGCTCAGCACAGGGCTTCTTATTCTTTGCTTTGATCAGAGTTCTTAATTCCTTCAACTTTGTTTTTCTTTACAGTGTTTACAATGTTATACCTATTATAGACATTGTTATTCTGGTTCTGCTTTCTCTCCTGTACATTAATTTATGCAAGCTTTCCTAGGCTTCTCTGAATCTATCCCTCTTGCGCTCTCTCTCGCTTTCTCTCTCTTTCTCTCTCTGTATATACACACACACACATATATATAGCAAGATAGTATTTCATTACATTCATAGAGCATCTATTTCTTCATGCATTTCTCAATTGATGGGTACCCCTTTTATGTCTAGTTCTTTGCTATGAGAGAAAGATGCTTCCATAAATGCTTTTCTATGGGTGGGTCCTTTTCCTCATTCTCAGATCTCGTTGAGGTACAAGCCCAGTTGTGATATTGCTGGGTCTCAGTTAAGTGACTTTTGGGGTAGAGTTCCAAATTGCTTTCTGGAATGCTTAGACAAATTCACATTTCCACCAACAGTGCATTGTTGTGCCTGTCCTCTTAAAGCTTCTCCATCAGTTATCATTTTCTTTTTCTGTCACCTTTGCCAATGTAATGAGCGTAAAGCAGAACTTCAGAGTTAATTAGCATTTTTCCTATTATTGATTTGGAGCGTATTTCATATGGTTGCTGGTAGCTTGCATTTTTTAAACTGCCTTTATATCCTTTTTCTATTTATCTTTTGTGGAATGGACTCAAATGCTTTTGTCAAATTGTCAAAATTCACTTTAATTTTCATTTCCCTACTTTGGGAGAGAAGGGATGGTCATGGTTTTGGAGATTGTGGGAGAATGTAATGTCAGAAACCAGGCAACCCTAATCAACTCCAAGAAAAGTTAATGGTGTAGTTGAAAGAGGTTTGGACTTAGATGTGAGATGATCTCGCTTGTAATTACAGCTCTATTACTAACTTTAAAAAAAGGTACATTGATATATTTTATTTCAACACATAAAGACTTCCAGTATGTTCCCAGTTGAATCCTCCACAATATGTAATACCTGTACACTCTTACTTTTTATGTGATCCTGGGTAAACTACTTAAGCACTCTGGTCTCCACAGTCTTCATCTGAAAAGCAGGATAGTCAAATTAATTAACATTTATCAAGTGCCCTATATACGCCAGGCACTGTGCTAAGTGCTAGGGATACAAATAAAGGCAAAAACTTCCCTGCCTTCAAGGAGATCCCAGTCTAATTGGGGAGACAATATACAAACAACAAGCTATATTCACATTTAATTGGAGATATCCAACAGAGAGAAGGCACTAACATTAAAGCGGATCAGGAAAAGCTGCTTCTTTTTTTTTTTTGGTGAGGCAGTTGGGGTTAAGTGACTTGCCCAGGGTCACACAGCTAGTGTTATGTGTCTGAGGTCGGATTTGAACTCAGGTTCTCATGACTCCAAGGCTGGTGTTCTAGCCACTGAGCCACCTACCTGCCCCTAGCAAAAGCTTCTTGTAGAAGGAAAAGTATTTTGTTTTTTTCCTTTTATAACAGAAACACTGAAGGATTCCCTATGTTGTCTTTTGCAGTGAAATTTGGAGAGGGAAAGCTATCTGTATGTCTATAATGGAGAAAATAGGCAGCATGGCCGTTGAGTAGATCCTGCTTCCTGTGTAAAGACTTCTCTTCTTTGTTAACAAAGCTCTTTTGTTTCATGAGATGTAGGGAAGTAACTGCTTGTCCTCAGAGCATGACCGCATTATGGAGCAAGCTGGGGCCCCTTTTTTTTGTAGCTAAGGGACCAGAGAGAACACAATTCACTTCTGTGTGTGTGTCATGCCAGGCAACAGTGCCAGCTGGTAAATGACTTGTGTCTCAATGTGCCAGCTAAAAGAAAGCTTAGTGCACGGACCTTCAGAAAAGAGTCCCTAAGACTATAGTTGATCCATGACTGTGATTTTAAATGGTAATAACAGCTAGCAACATGTATTTATCTACTTCTTTTTGCTTTCCAAAATGGTTTCATACATATTATCTCAATTAATCTTTTAAAAAATTGTTGTATTGATATTTTTTACCCCTTTAACTTTCCAGTAACACTTCTCCCAACAATCTTTTGCCCTCTTACTCCAAATGAACCCTCCTTTGTAACAAAGAGATACAATTAGGTAAAACAAACTGACCTAGAGTCGGACCAAATATGCCTCATTTTGAACATACATGTGGGCCACCACTTGTCAGATGAAAGGAAGAAGGTATGATTTCATCATCTATACTCTGGAGTAAAGGTTGGTCAATGTATTGATCCAGGTTCTGATTTTTAGTATTGCTTTCTTTTACATCATGTGGTCATTACTCTGCTTAATTTACATCAGCTTGTGAAAGTCTTCCCAAGTTTCTCGGAAGTCAATAAATAGGCAAGAATTAATTATCTTTATTTGACAGATGAGAAAGAAATGAGGTTAAGTGCCTTGTTCAGGGTTACATAGGTAGGCAAAGAGCCTGGATACCACATGAAGTCTTATGGGATGCAGTATGGTATAGATAGCCTTTCTGGAGACTTAGATTTGAAACATTCCTCAAGACCATTAACTGTGTAATCATGGGGAAAGTAGATATCTTTTAGAGCTTCAGTCTCATCAATAAAATGGGCATAATAATACTTTTAAAACTTCTCCTATGGGATGGTCAAGAAAAGCACTTAGCAAGCTTTAAAGTATTTTACAACGTCACAAAATGAGTTATTGTAAGTCTCAAACTCCACCAGTAGACTATCACAATTCTGCAAGGCGATACTGTGTACAGAAAATAAATCTATCTACTGTAAGTGAGTTTACTGCTCCTTCCATCCCAATAAGCAAATTAAATGAGATCAATATGATTTTGTCATTGATTCAAGGAAGTGATTTTTTTTTCAAGACTGGTTATGGTATATGATAAGACCCCCAATTTCCTCCTTAGATAGTACAGCATAGAGCAGTGGGTAGAGGGCTAGAGGTAGAGTCAGGAAGACCTGGGTTCAAATCCTGCTCAAATATTTACTAGATATATGACCCTAGACAAGTCAATTAGTCTCTTTGAACCTAGTTTCCTCATCTATAAAATGGGGATGATAAGCACCTAGGGTTGTTGGGAGGACCAAATGACATCATGAATGAAAAATGCTTTGTAAATTACAGCATCATATAAGTACTAGCTGTTACTGTTGTTATTATTGCTACTTCCACAAGTGATTTTATTATTTCTTCCTTTCCAATAAACTAGTTAAATGAGATCAATATGACTTTGCCACTGACCTAAGGAAGTGAATTTTACAAGGCTTGTTATGGTGTATTAGCTACTACATTGCAAACTTTGTTGTTATTATTGTTGTTGTTGTTCAGTCGTATCCAACTCCCATTTGGGGTTTTCTTGGCAAAGATAGTGGAGTGGTTTGCCATCTCCTCCACTTCATTTTACAGATGAGGGAAACTGAAGCAAATAAGGGGTTAAGTGACTTGTCCAGGGTCACATAACCAGTAAGTGTCTGAGGCCAGATTCAAACTGAAAAAGATGAGTCTTCCTGACTCCAGGCCCTCCATTCTATCCCCTGTATTACCTAGCTGCCCTTTACAGATGAGGAAACTGAGGCAAATGGGGTTAAGTGACCTGCCCAGGGTCACACAGCTAGTAAATGTCTGAGGCCAAATTTGATCTCAGGAAGATGAGTGCCACCTATCCACAGTGCCACCTAGCTGCCCCATTATTTTATTATGATGATGCCATAGGTGTTACTTTCCATTTGATACTGATGTTTTCTCTTCCTTTGTGTTTGCACAGACAACTCAGATTCCAGCGTCTTTACTTCAATGACTGTGAGCTTCCTTCAAGAGCTGCCCAGTTACAGGTCCCTTGTTCGGAGGAGGGCCACCATACTTGGGAGGGATAAATCAGGAGGCACTTTGCTGAAGCCAGCCAGCTCTGAAAACAGGTCTTATTTGGAAGCAGGAAGATCAGAGAAGGAACACCTTGGGAGCCAGTCCATAAGAAAATATGCATTGAATATCTCTGAGAAGAGGAGACTAAGGTTTGGTCCATAGTGATTTTTCAGGTTCATGCAGAACATGTTAATAAATAGTATCATGGGGTGTGAAGATTCATTCAACAAATATTCATTGAGTTCCTACTACAAGTATAAGACATGGATCCTGCTTTTAGGAACCAGTCAGCATTTATTAAGCACCTATTCTGTCAGGCTGTACCCAATGCTTAGCAGAATTTAAATTCCTTGAGGGTAGGGACTTTTTGCTTTTTTTCTTGGAATACAGTAAATGCCTAATAAATGGTTCCTTCCTTGATGGATTGATAAGTACTGGAGTTACACATTTTAAAAAGGAAAGTATTTATCCTCTTTAGGAGCTAACATTTTATCAGAAGAGAAAACATGTACCTATATAAGTCTATACTAGTATTTATATAGCTATTTCAAATTTGCAAAGCACTCTTACGATATTATTATATAGCACTTAAAGGCTGCAAAACGATTTATAAATATTTTCTCATTTGATCTTCACGACAACCCTGGGAGGTAGGTGATATTATTATCCTTATTTTATAGATGAAGAAACTGAGGCAAATAGGTTAAGGGACTTGGCCCAGCTAGTAAGTGACTGAAGTTAGATTTGAACTCAAATCTTCCTGACTCCAAGTCCAGTGCTCTATCCACTGTACCACCTAACTGTATTTGGAGATTTCTATAAATTTGATTTCATTCTGTTCTTGTCTGAATGCAGAAATAGTTGTTAATTGTTGTTTTAGTATGGAATAAGAAAAAATTTAAAAATCATTAAAAAAAAGTGTCTGAGATCAGATTTGAACTCAGGTCTGCCTGATTCCAGGTGTACTCTATCTTCCATGCTACCTAGCTGCCTAAGGGATTAATTTTTAATGTTTAAAATATTATAAATATTTAACATATAATGTATTTTGATGCATTTATTTAATATCTATTTTGATAAACTCTAGAATTTATTCTTTTCATATTGAATAGGGTTAGTGTAAGGTTTACTGGCATCCAAGGGGTATAACAACTGAAAAAGTTTGGAAACCCTGATCTAGTCCAGTACCTTCATTTCACAGATGAAGAAACTAAGGCCCAAAGAGGTGATATGACTTTGCCAAGGTCACATGGTAGTAAGTGATAAGGCAAAGATTTGAACCCCAATCTTCCAGCTTCAAATTGGAGGCTCCTTCCAAAATGAAGGCTCCTTCCAAGAGCTGTACTGCTTCCTCCTTGACATTCCTGTGATTTACTTTTGTGCCTGCATGTCTCTGTGTATGTGTTATTCCTTTGTCTGAAATGCTCCCTTCTCTACTTCTGGCTGTTGGAACTTTGCCCATTATTTAAATTTCAACTCTTTAATGACTATAATAATAATAATGCTAATATAGCAGCATTTAAATAGTGCTTTAAGATTTGCAAAGCTCTTTACAAACATCTCATCCTCACAACAATGCTGTGAAATAGGTACTATTATTATCCCTATTTTATTGTTGAGGAAACTGAGGCAGTCAGCAGTTAAGTGACTTGCTCAGGGTTATACAGCTATTAAATGTCAGAGAAGAGATTTGAACTCAGGTCTTTGCTCAGCACTAGATGACTCTTTGTGGAAGCTTTCCCAGAATCTCCAGTTCAATAATCATCTTTCCCCTTTGGCCCTCAAAGCACTTTTTGCTTGTGCCTATCTATCTACTTTCCATATATTTTTTGTTCTGTCATTATTGGTGTACCTTATATGCCCCACATAGAATGTAAACCCCATTAGGACAATGGCTTACTAAAATTTTGTATCTCACCTAGCGCAGTGTTCGGTATGCAGTAGATATGTATTGAATTGAATTGAAGAGCTTCTTCCTATTATTGAGTAATAATAATATTATTAAGGCAGTTTGGTGACATAGGGGATAGAGTGCTGGGCCTGGAGTCCAGAAGATCTGAGTTCAGATTTAGCCTCTGACACTTACTAGTTGTATGACCCTGGGCAAATCACTTAACTTCTGTTTGCCTCAGTTTCCTCATTGGTAAAATGGTGATAATAACAGAACCTACCTCATAGTTGTTGTGAGAATCAAGTGAGATATTTATAAAAAGCTTTTGTTATAGTATCTGGCACTTAATAAATGCTTATTCCCTCCCTTCCCTTTTGAAAAGATTCCATTTTGTAAGGGGCCCAATGAAACAAGCCTGAGATTCTGAAGTGGGAGAATCCTGGCTGGATGCTGCTGGAACCACTGGTAATGGACAAGGCAGTGGTCTTTGATGAGGTGTGAGCTCTGGACTCCTCCCTTCCTCCTCCCCTCTTCGAACTTCCCCTGAACTTTCCCACATGTCCCAGTCCTTGGCATTCACCTGAGGCATTGGCTCATCCCAGCATGATCCTTTCAACTGTCCTTTCCTTGTGGCTCTGACCCAGCTCCAATCTTCAATTCTGTTACCTCTAACCCAGCCCATCCCTTCATGGTCTGTTACCTCTGGACTTCTACTGGGTTATTTCCTACCCTTAATCCCATCTAGACCCATTCTCTGTTACCTCCAGGTCACCACAGCCTATCAGATCCAATCCAAAACTACCCACAAATCTTTTTTCCTATAAAAAAGGTCAGTCTTATCTACCAAGGGCACAGGTTCTTAAAAATCCCACCTGCTTCTATTAACGAAATACTAAACCTTTTCTCTGACCGAAAGAAGGCTTGAGTCGAATTCTTTCAAGGTAGGACCTGTACCTTTTGCCCTTGAGTTTTGGGGTTCCCAGCACCCCTAGACTGCAACAGTCTTCTCTCTTAGTTTTCCCCAACTTTAACATCCTATTCCAGCTTGGGATAAAGTTTCTTTAAATATCAAGAGAGTATGCTTAGATGTCAGAATATTTGGTAGTTTTTTAGCTTTTTTTTTTTTATACCCTCATAACTTTTCTTACCTCTTTTCTTGCTCTTCGTGAAGAGCAAGAATCCTGAGAAATTATTTTTTTTATTCTTATGGTACTTGAGTTTGAAAGAATCTAGATAGCCAAAGTTATATAGCATCTTTAACATAGCTATTGGGCTTCTATGCATCATGGCAGATTTGGACTCTCTAAAAGTTCAAATCAATTGTTTGTAAATAAATATACTGTGGTACTTTTATTTGGGTAGGGAGCAGTGTTTAATTCTTATGACCTGGGATCATTTTTCAGCTTTAATATCTAGGAGGTAGGAGGAAAAGCTAATTTACTCCATATGCTTAAAGATCACTTAAAGAAACGATCTAGTTGTTGAGGTTCAGAAGTTTAGGGGTGCTGGGACCCCAAATCACGACATACGGGTACTGCTCAAATAAGTTCGACCCAAGCCTTCTTTTAGTTGAAGACAAGGTTTTTTAGAACATCGATGGAGGGGAGGAGGGGAGTGAGATTTTAAAGACTCTGTCATATTGGCCCGACTCTTAAGGAATCTAAACATTTGATTAAGGGTGGGAAGTGGGGGGGGGGCATAGTAAGGTAACACAATAGAGGGCTAGGCTAGGTTAAGTGTAACAGAGAATTGGAAGATTGGGCATAGGCAATAATGAAAGGCCAGTTGATAGAATTATAATCTCAGGCAAACGCCAGAGATTTGGCTTTGTGGGAAAGTCCAGGGCTTTTCCTTTTTTGGGTCCAGATCCCAAAGACATGGTCTTTTCCTTTCTGGGGTTCAGATCCCATCCCCATCATAGTCATGCTAGGTAGCTCCATTAGCTGTTTTCTTAGAGAAGAGGTGAGGCTTGAGTTAACAATTGACAGTTTTTGGAAAATTGTAAAAGGTTGTTTCATTTTGAAACAAAGTGGGGAATCTCTGATCCGCAGTCTGGATTTGGCCCCTAGCTTAATTCGGGAATTAACAGGAGATAATCTGTTTTATGCTTATAATTATGAAAATCAAAAAGGGCTTTGAAAGACTTTAGTGGCATTATCTGAAAAGACCATAATGTGGGGGAGATTCCTGAATTGGTCTATCTCTCTCTCAGCCATGTCGCTCTGTGTCCTGTTACATAGGTTCTTATCTTCTTTCTGTTTTCCTCTTGTATTTTCCATTCTTTCTACTTTTGTTTTTTTCTGTTTTTGTTTTTAAAATTTTTCCTTTCTCTCTGAGTTTTCTTCTGTGTCTTGATGTTTTTACCTTTGAGAATTAAAATACCTTTTGCTGCTAAACAAATTCCTTTATTGATAGGGGGTCATCAGGAGCTTAGGTGGATTTAGCTGTTTAGCTCCATAGACAAACTAAGAATGTTAGATACTGAATACTAAGTAAAGCCAGGTCAGTCATCTGACATATAGGTGGGTAGATAAGCAGGTTCTTCTTGTTTTTGGCTTTTATGAAGATGCCAAAAAAAGCTCCAGTTCTATTGAGATACCTTACTTTTCTATAAAGAAGCTTCCTTAAAGCAAAGATTAAGAACATGAATTGTAAACCAAATATAGAAGAACACATTGGAATCTAATAGAGCAAAGTTTCTAACTTGGAGTTTGTGATCTTAAAATATATATATATATATTTTTGATAACTATTTAAACAAATTTGGTTTCCTTTGTAATCTTATGTATTTTATGCATTTAAAAACACTATTCTGAGAAGGGGTCCATAGGCTTCACCAGAGTGCCAAAGGGTTCCATGACACAAAAATAGAGTAAAAATCTCTGCTCTAGATCTTCTGATAAGCTATAATTGTTTGTCTCTTGGCATGCAACTTACGTCTAGGGTTGGCTCTCTAGTCCCATCTTGATTTTCTTTTAGCTCACAAGTTTCTTTTTCCCACCACTTCTTTTTTTTTTAAAGGAAGGATGAGATCAGCCTGAGAATCAAAGTTAACCTCTTAAGTCTCTTTTGACCCAGACTCTAGCTACATTTCCCTTAATACAAGCTGAGACATTGTCTTATACATCATTATATTACCACATATGCCTTGCATATAATGGGCATTCAGTAAATATTTGTTGAATGAATGAATGAAAGAAAATGTCCAGTCTTGTCCTTGTGATTCATTTATTACCCAGAAGTTTCTGACATCTTGGCATTTCTAATAGGATTTCAGATATTCCAGCCTGTTTCAGGTGCCCTAATTTTTGTTAGTACTGTCTCACCAGCTGGAATGGATTTGAGCCAGTTTAAACATTGAAAAAATTGCTACCTCTGTTTGCCTTAGGAAAAGAAGTTGGGCTATATTCCTGCATAATACCATCTTACCTGGAAATAGTGTTCTTAAGGGTAAAAATTACACAGATTTTTGTGTCCTCTAGCTATTCCTCAGATACAGATATTAGTTCAAAGTTATGTAATCTTGCTGTTATATTGTTACTGTTTTTATTAACTTAGGGAAATTCAGGAGGCCCAGGTCAAATATTTATCCGAATGGGACCAGTGGAAGCAGTACAGCACCAAGTCATGGAAAAGATTTATTGAAGAGGCCAAGGAGCTGGCTTCCCACTTGGAACTGTGGAAAAATGACATTCGCAGCATAGAGGGTATTGATGTGTCGTGTATGGTTGAATAGCACTGCTCATGGAATTTTTATTCAGAAAGTAAATGTTGGGAGGTAGACGGCAGGTTCTCACTGGGAATTTTTTGGGGGAGTGATCTGCTTCTTTCTTTAATTTTCAGATACATACATACATACATACGTACCTAAATATGTATATGTACATACTTGCTCACTCATCTATCCATCCATCCACTTATTTATTTATTTTCATAAGCATTTATCTCTCTCACTTATTCCCTCTCTCCTCCTCCCATGAGAAAGAAAAAGAAAACCCTCATTATAAACATATAGCTCAGAAAAACAAATTCCTTCATTGTCAATGTCTAAAAATATATCTTATTCTGCATTTTAAACATAGCACTTTTTCCTTTTCTTTTTTTAATTTAATTTTTAATTTTCAGTTCCAAATTCTCTCCTTCTACTATCCCTTCCCCCACTCCTTGAGAAGGCAAAAAATATGATACTCATTATACATATGAAATTATGTGAGACATGGTAGCCATATTGGTTCCCCACCACCAAAAAAAAAATGAGGGGAGGGAGAGAGAGAGAGAGAGAGAGAGAGAGAGAGAGAGAGAGAGAGAGAGAGAG